TTTTTTATATTTAAATAAAAATCAATAATAAAAATTAGAACTATTAATTTCATCAGACATTATGATAAATATTTTCTCAAATTTTAGATGAAGTAGTTTCTTGTCTTCAGTTGCAGATTCTTTATCCTGTCCTGTTAGGAAGATGTTCAGCCTCCCAAGCCCAGCCCAGTAGTATCCTGTTTTGCCAGGAAAATCTAAAAAGAAAAATGCATACTACTAAGTACTAATAGGGCTAGCTGCTAGCAAATTTTTTTTTAAGAGTAGGTAGAAAGTATTATTTATCTTATAAAACATAGAATTGATTATAATTTTGTATTTCATGATATGAAATATTTGTAAAATAACTTACTGAACATCTCTCACTGAATCTGAGAGAAATCATGTAGAATTGATTTTATGATTTTGTGATTCTATGAGTATCTTGAAAAAATTTAGTAGTCCTAGAACACATTCCACTTGTTTTTAAAAGAGTTAACATTACTAAGTATGCTACTCAGGTTGGCGGAAGATCCTTTTTTTCCTAACTAATGACCCACACTAGGGATAGTATTAAGAATAGCTGAAAACAATTGTTTTCAGTTTCATATACACAAACACATGTTTTTAGGGTTCAGTAATAATAATAGCTAACAATTATATAGTGTGTAGTGTATGTCAGGTACTGTTCTGAGCATTTGAAATATGTTAATCTCGTTTAATCCTCCCAACAACCATGGGAGGTATTTATTATCCCCATTTTACAGATGATGTAAATGAAAAACAGGTTAGTCACTTACCCAAGGCCACACAACTAGCAAGTGACAGAACCTAAAGTTGAACCCAGAGTCCCCTTTTATCCGCTATGTCATACTGCTTCCCTATTCAGTATTTCTTACTGTTTTTTGTTTTGTTCTCATGGGACTCTTTCAGAAGCAGTTCTTTGACAGTCATGTGCGGGACCACATTAAGGCAGAATTATTAAATTTATTGTTACTCCTCCTACCATACTCTTCAGTATTTCTGAATTAAGACTATTCCGATGAGAACCAGTCCTGTTTCTGACAACATGTTTCACCCTTAACTGAAATATATATGGCAAGGAAATGTAGATTTCGGGTGCCTTGATTAATCCTGTGGGGCCCTGGTGGCACAGTGGTTAAGAGCTCAGCTGCTGACCAAAAGGATGGCAGTTCAAATCTACCAGCCACTCCTTGGAAACTCTATGGGGCAGTTCTACTCTGTCCTGTAGGGTCGTTAGGAGTCAGAATTGACTCTGCAGCGACGCGTTTGTTTTTTTTTTTTTTTATTAATTATATAAGGAAGCAGGAAGCTTTCCCTTTGGTGCCTGAGAGATTTGTACACCTCAGGACAATGTGTCTAGTAAGATTCAGAATAAGTTAAAGGCACATGTTTCCTTTGTAAAGTGAGAGAAAAAGACTATTGTTAACACAGGCACTTTCTGAGGTGAATGAGTTTTAGGAAAGCAAGTACTCATGCAAATTGAAGATCTGGAAATTGGTTCCCTTAAAACCATTCTTGCTTGTGAACCCTTGGAAAGTCTTCTAGTATGTGTACCTACTTTGAAGACCAGCTTAGGAAAGATAACAGTTGCTCAAAAATCTGAATGCTTGAATTTAAAAAAGCTAATCACAGGGATTTGTTCTCTTGAGACTAGTTTTATTTATTCCCAGTGTAGCTGTATCTAGGGAACAGTGAAGATACCATTTATTAAGCAGCTCCAAGGGTGTGGTCTCCTGGGAAGTTTTGCCTGAAGGTACTTTATCAGTAGTTTAAACCGAATGCTCTTTTATAAATGTCGGGGCCCTGTTAATAACAGAGCTGCGCATCGTGTCCGATTCTGTCTATGAAGTGTTTCTTGTCTCTTGATTTACTAGATTCATACCTTGGAAGCTTTGGTTAAGACAAAATAAGTTAGGATATAGCATCCCCTCTCCATTTGGTGTTGGTGGTGGGAGGTACTCTGTGTACATTTCTCGTAGTTTTCAAGGCTGGGCTCTGGGAGACCAGGTCATATTCTACCACCTCATATATGTGACCTTACGGCTCTGGCTGTTAAGGAGGGTGTGAATGAGGTACGTCAAGAAGCTCTCATAACCATTCATGTATCCTAGAGTAGATTACTTAGCTGTCAGCCCTTTTCAGGTCGTAATTCCCCATTTCTTGCATTCTATACGTACCTACATAACCAGAGTAGGGCACTTAAATATGGATTGATTGTTATTTTTGAGCTCATACTGTTCCTCTGTGGATTAACTAAAATGTCATATTCTTGTGTCATTAATATTCCCAAGCTTTTAACAAGTTTAACAAGCCTAGGTAGACTACATTCAAAGCGTATTATGAGTCACAGTTTGGAGAGGGCTTTAATCTTGATACTTTCATTTCCAGTGCTTCTCAAAAAGGATTGTACCTTTCTCAGGAAAGGAAAAGTTTAGTGTTTTTTTTTACATTCTGTTAATATAGTACATTGACAACCACAATATAATCTAAAATGATATTACACTAAAGAACAATAATATTACTCTATTTCATCTTGGTCGTAGGTTTGTTCCAGTAGCTCTATAGATTTGTTTTTTATCATTGTATAGCCATCTCATTTGCTTCCACTTAAACACTGGATATTTTTCCAGTAATAAGTAAAACAAATCAGTTTTGAGTCAGTAAATCTGGAGAAGAAGGAAAACACTTATTTTATTTTACATAAAGGTTTGTCCTGGACTTTGGCCCCTTTGATTAGTTACAGTCAACAACTTGTATATTCGATCAGTCCGGAAAAGAGTGAATTCTCCTCTTATTTTATCCTGTCTATTGGCCTCTGAAAGTACTTCATTTTTAATAAGTCCTTAATTGAAGAAGAATTTCTTGTCTATAAAACCTTTTTACTGTTAACCTATAGTTACTCATATATTTCTTAGTCTGTTTAACCTAAGGTCTAATTTTAGCCAAATTTTCATCTTAACTAGGCTTTTGTTAGAGGAACGTGCCACTCTGAATTTGGGCTTTTGAGGTATCGAGTTTGTTTCTTGTGTTGCCTGAACTTAGTTTACACTGATTTTTACTTTCTAAGATGAATTTGTCATAACAACTCTTTTATCTGTATAGAAGATGTTTCAGCAAAGCTGCCAGGTTTTTCCATAACATCTTTAGTCATAGTAGGAAGACCAAAACTTCATTCATTTATACTTTAACCTTTGCTCTCTTTTAAGCTCAAATTTTATACTTTTATAGCTTTTTTCTTACTATAGGGCTATAGGGATAAGTTATGTTTATCCATGCTAATCAGAAAGATCACCTGAAAAAAAGAACAATGAAGAGAACATCAGATGATTTACGTGCTTTTGGTGAGGCAGGGTTTCTTTGTCCTTCCAATCTTATGAAATGGTCCTGAAAATCCCCACTATATTCCTGTGTTTTTTTATTTCGTTTTTGAAGTGTTCATTTTTTATTAAGATCGCTTTGATTTTTCTTTTTAAAAAACCTTGTGGGTGTTAATTTTTTTTAATCCTGATTTTAAATAATAAAAAATACCCATTCAACTTTTTGTTTAAGGGAAATATACAATTACCAGTTGTACTTTCTCCACAGAATCTGCCCACTGTTGGTGTATCCCACACAGAGGGCCAGTCTCACTGACCTACTTCAGACTCACCTATAGGCAGCAGGCTACAGCTGAGATGACTGGTCAGCTCAGAAAATTCACTTTTCTGTCTTTGTCGTATTTGTAGGGTTATAGGTAACAAACCTCTTTTTTTTTTTTTTTTTGAGCATCTACTCGGGCAGAGAACTACGCTGAATACAGTTCTTTTCTTTAACTGTCATTCTTTTTCCATTGTGGGAACTGAGTTACCATCAAGGTGACATTAGCAGAAGGAAGGTGCCAGTTATCTGTATGTGCATTGTATGCTGTATAAATTCCATTCGGTAGAAATGACCACTGCCCGTGAAGAATGCACAGTCCTAAAGGAAACATATTGCCAGGGTCCTAAGATCGAAGAAGGTAAACCTTTAGAGAGCTCAGTAAAGTTTTCAGAGACTGTCATTGCAGTTTCCTAAATTTTATCAGTGTAATACTTGGTGCTTTTTTCACACTTATGCCAGTTAATTCGCATTAAAACTGCTTATACTAAACTGCTTTGCACCGATTTTCTAACAGTTGCAGTTTTGATAGTAAATTTGCTAGTATTAATATGCATGCTGGGATGTTCTTTGGAATGTCAGAGTTCTTTCTCACTTTTAATGCAATGTCGAAATTTTATTTCTTGTCTTTCCTGTTGGTTTGACTCTTGTGTTTGTGCTTTCCACTTTACAGGCATGCAGCATGGTGAATATGTTAATAATCAAGCTAGCTCCGCACCATCTCCCTTGTCATCAGCTTCCGATGATGAGGAAGAGGAGGATGAGGATGAGGAAGCAGGTCTGCTTTAGCTTTACACCAGTTATTGATCTTTCCTACTCGAGTTTTCTTTTTTATTTCCACAGTCTTAGCATTTTAAAAAAAAAAGTGTTTCTGCAGATTTAGCCCAATAAAGTTACTTGGTTTGGGATATAGAAGGTTGGAAACTTGAAAAGAAGTGTTTTTGTTTGTTTGTTTTGTTTTTCCTTTTTGGATGTCTTTACCATTTTGTAAATGACAGAATGCATCTTTCATGACGGTAGAGTGCTTTGTTTCAGGAATGGATTTCCTCCTACGTCACATGCAAAAGAATGAGTCTGCACTTTAAAGCTTTTGGCTATGACTGTTTTAGCATCCTTTTAGGAACAGTAATTTATTTTCTGCTTTGCATGCTACGTTTGTCTAATCAAAACCAGCCACATGGATTTGATGATGGTGATATAGGAATAGGCCAGTGTTTCTATGAGGTCCTTTTTTGCTCCTCTCATCATATACTTAGAAGGTCATGTACTTAGAAAGCCCAGAATTTGTAGTTATTTTCTTGCTTCATGAAATAGCACTTCACATCTTGCTAGTTGAAGAATTTGTTCAGATGGTTATCTGTTATAACCCGTTTAATAACTTTTTCTGCCTTTGATAGGTAGTAAGCAGTTGGATTCCTGCTTTAATTCTAATGGTTTAAGACTGAACCAATAAGTGATGAACCTTCAAGTTACTGTATCTGACCATGATTCACCCTCTGTTATCTTTATCATTGAGTGGAAGGATTTTCCCTACAAACCATATAGCCAATTACCTGTGCACCTTTTTATATTCAAATCTTTATGTATTATTTGAGGGGGATGCCAGTTGAGGAGTAATTTTTCTTACTGTAAATATTTAAATACATGTCTATCTTTCTGAAGTGTTTGGGTAACTTTTTATTTTTATATAATAAACTTAAGAAAAGTTGTAAGAAATGAGTAAAAGAGATTACCATATACCATTTACTCAGGTAAACCATTTTTGGTCTGTAATTCTCATAATATCTGTATATCTATATAAAGTTTTTCTTCCTACACCATTTGAAAATAAGTGGGAGACATCATGAACCTTTACCTCTAAATACTTCAGTGTGTATTTTTTTAAGAAGGACAGTATCTTATATAACTACGGTATAATTATGAGGAAATTAAACGTTGATGCAGTAATATCTGATACACAGTCCATATTCAGATCGTAGCAATTGTCTCAATAAGATCTTTTATAGCCATTTTCATGGTCCAGGATCAAATTCAGGATCATGCACTGCATTTAGTGTTCATGTCTATTTAAAAAAAAGTAAAACCAAACCTGTTGCCATTGAGTTATTTCCTACTCATAGTGACCCTATAGGACAGAGTAGAACTGCCCCATAGGGTTTCTAAGGAGTGGCTGGTGGATTTGAACTGCCAACCTTTTGGTTAGCAGCCGAGCTCTTAACCATTGCGCCACCAGGGCTCCATCATGTCTATTTAGACTTCTTTAATCTGGAGCAGTTTCTTAGCCTTTCTTGACCTTGACATTTTCAGAGTATAGGCCAGTTATTTTGTAGACGGCTTCTCAATTTGGGCATATCTGATGTTTCTTCTTAATTAAATTCAGATCATGCATTTTTGATAGGATTACCACTGTGGGGTCACTATGAGTCAGAATTCACTTCAATGGCAACGGGTTTGTTTCTTTTTTCTTTTCCCCCCACTACTAAAGAAAGTGTTCTCAGTACATCCTGTCTGAAGCACATGATGTCAGTTTGCTCCAGTATTGATGATGTTAACTTGGATCACTTGGTTACGGTGGTGTCTGCCAGATCTCTCAGCTGTGATGTCACTATTTTTCCCCTTTGAAATTAATAAGTAATTTGTGGGGAGAGTCTTTGAGACTGTTAATATCCTGTCCTTTATCACACTTTCACCCATTAATTTTAGCATTCATTGATGATTTTTAACTGTAACATTCCTTCTATATTTATGAATTGGCATTTTATTGTAAAGAAGAGCTTTCCCTTCTCCTTCGATATCTTTAGATCCATGTTAACTCATGGTTCTGTAGTGAGAGGGTTATAATTCATTACTGTCATTAATTATTTTGATGTCAACTTGTCCTAGACATGGCCAGTGGCAGCTCCTTCACACTGACTCTAATGTCTCCATGAGCCTTTGAGCACTTACTTTAAGTGCTTTAAGACCATTATTAGATGTTCCTAGCTCACCTTGTACTTACCCTGTTACAAGCCTGGAATTCACTCATTTCTCCAAGGAGCCCTGGTTCCTTTAGTGGAAAAGGGTATTTTAGAAAACAAGATCGCATTGTAATGTGTACTTATTGCTACGGTAGGTCACTGCTCTGAGGCATTCAGTGATTTTTTAAAATGTATATGTTATTCAGATCCTAGACACATCTCCCTTTTCTATTACATACTTCTCATTTTGCAGATTTCAAAAATATGCAGTACATTTTATATAATGTTATTATCAGCCTAAATTACTTCCATTTTTGTTCTGTTTGCCATTAAGAACAATTGTTGAAAATTCCATTTGCTGAGATTGAAAAAAGAAATTGGGAGATCAAAAGATTTAGCATTTATGGCTTTTCTCCTGTCTGTCTTGTTTAACTAACTTATTTTTTTTCCTTGAATATATTACAGATTAAAAATTCCTTGAGTTCTTAAACATATGTCATTTAGATTTTTAATAATACCAAACTTTTTTTAATGAAATGCGCAAAGATGTGGAGTTAGAAAACCAAAAGGGAAGAGCACGCTTGACATTTCTCAAACTGAAAGAACTGAAGAAAAAAATTCAAGTCTTAAGTTGCAATATTGAAGGATTCTACAGGCAAAATATTGAACAATGCAGGAAGCATCAAAAAAGATGGAAGGAATACACAGAGTCACTGTACCAAAAAATAATTGGTCGACGTTCAACTATTTCAAGAGGTAGTATATCATCAAGAACTGATGGCATTGAAAGAAGTCCAAGCAGCACTGAAGACATTGGCAAAAAACAAGCCTCCAGGAATTGACGGAATACCAGTGGAGATGTTTCAGCAGACGGATGCAGCCCTGGAAGTGCTCACTCGTCTTTGCCAAGAAATTTGGAAGACAGCTACCTGGCCAACCAGCTGGAAGAGATTCGTATTTATTTATTTATTTGTGAACATTTTATTGTGGTTTGAGTAAAAGTTTACAGAGCATATTAGTTTCACATTCAACAATTTATAAACTTTCTATCTTCGTGCGTTAGGTGCAATCCCCTCAGTTTGACAGCACTGTACCTCCTTCTTCCCTGAGTTCCCCCTTTCTGTTTGCCCATCTTTCCTGCCCCTTCCTGCATTCTGAACTTTGTTTTTGGACAAATGCTGCCCTTTTAGTTTTGTGTGACTGACTGTTCTGAGGAACATGTTCCTCGTGGGTGTTATTGTTCGCTTCATAGGCCTGTCTATTGTTTGACTAAAAGGTGATCTCTGGGAGTAGGTTACGAGATCCGTATTTGTGCCTGTTCCGAAGAAAGATGATCCAGCAGAATGCAGAAATCATTGAACAGTATCATTAATGTCACACGCAAGTAAAATCTTACTGAAGATCATTCAAAAGCAGTTGCAGGAGTACATTGACAGACAACTGCCAGAAACTCAGGCAGATTCAGAAGAGGACGTGGAAGGAGGGATCTCATTGC